GTCATCTATATTCCAACTTACTAAATCCCTTGGTTTCTTCATTTAACAATAAACTTTTAGGGATAAAAAAAATTCATTTGGGAATCTTATTATGTAATTAAAGAAATTTAAAATAAAACTTTTAAAGTAAAAATATTTAAGGGACCAAGTGGGAATCGAACCCACATCCTTGGACTTGGAAACCAAGATGTTAACCACTACACTATTGATCCATAACAAATTTTTAAACAAATAATAAAAAACCAATTCTTTTATTAAAAAATTGGAATCAGATTAACCCATGAATTTCGAAGAAGTAATAGGAGTTATAATGAAAGAATCACAGTGTTCGAGAGAAGTTGCAATTGATTGTTATTTAGAATCAAAAAACAATATAACAAATGCTGTAGATTTAGCCAAAGAGCATGTCAGGAGCAGGTTAACTACAATTTTGTTATATAAAAACGGATTGGTGGTTAAGAAAGGGGATTGTGAAAATTTTTATGATTATGACGATAAAAAAAATAAAGAATTAAGAGATATGATTGAAAGGGGTGAATTTGATAAGGATCTGATTGACTGTTCATGTGATTCTATTGATGTTGTCATAGAAAATTTCGAAGATGAAGAATACTTTCTTTTAAAGAAAAGAAAACTTTGTTCTATACGAGACATTTATAAAATAAAACACGAAAAATATCCTGAGATACCAGTTGAATTACCTAAAGAAATCATTTTTGATGAAAAGGGAGACGTAAACTTTGTGGTTGTTTACAATAGAACAAAATCGATTATTTGTAGAATAGACTTTAATTCTAAAATAGAAAAGGTTCTAAAACATTTTAAAAGTATAATAAACAAACCAGTAAATTTATATATAAATAATAAGAAATATAGTGGTAACCAAGATGTTTCTGATCTTGATTGTTCTATGGTAACATTAGTGTTGGATGTGACTGATTAAAATATCTATTTTATTTTTAGTAGTTTAAACAACTCATCTTTTTTCAAAATTTTTGTTTCTTTAAACAACTTCATGTCAGCTTTTGTAATTCCACAGGCGTGACTTATCAAATCTATGAGTTTGTATTGATTTAAATCTAAACAAAGAAATCTATCTAAATTTTTAATAGCTGCATCAAATGAAAATTTTATAGCGTATACCTTTTTCTCTAAATCATGTTTATGTTTAATTGCGCACATTGCTAAATATGGATTGGGAAAAAAGAAGTCAAAATTAAGAAGTTCTATAACTTTGTTTTCAACCAGAAAAAGAGTATTTTCATCAATTTTTTTTTTAAAATAAAAATTAAATTTCTCTATGAATTTTTCTTGAATATCCTCAATCTTTAAACCAATAAAAATACAACAAC